ATTAGCCATCATGAACCATTATTGGCTATTATTGGCCATTATTAATCACTATTAATCACTATTAATCACTATTAATCACTGTTAATCACTATTAATCACTGTTAATCACTATTAATCACTATTAATCCCTATGAAATGCACCTTGGAGACATCTGGGATGCCCACCATTTTTGCTCATCCTCCTGGATGTGCACACAGCACCTCGAGGCATCTCGAAATTTTTAACGCGTTGGATCGAGGCGGAATCCACATGGTTTCGGGGCCTCCGATTTTTTCTGGGTGAACCATAGTGATTATATATACCAAGGTGCATTTAATAGTGATTATCACTATGAACTATGAACTATACCATCAAGTTGTCCATTGGAAGTTATATATAATAGTCTATTAAAAATGTGTTTGGATAATCATGATGTCATCATGCTCTTTCTTCATGGCCATTTGGGTAAATCAGGATGGAAATCCGCCACAGATGTGATGCAACGTGTGACAATCTGGGGAAAAACATGGGAAAAACATGGGAACACGTGCAAGGTAGTGCCCTCCCAGTTATAAGTTGGTTTATAGACCATAGTAACTAGTTAGATATATCTACCATAGACCCTAGATATTGGAGTTATGTTCACCAACTTAGGGATTCCGAACTGGGTACCTGGGGCACCACCTTGTGATGTCATAAGAATTGCAAGCCTTCAAGTCTACCCTCAGGTCATCAAACGTTTAGTTCGATGTTCCCAGCCAACTAATCTCTATGACGCCACGGGGATTTCCCAGCCATATTTGATGACCAGAGGGTACACGTTGACCATGAATACTTGGATTACCATGTTGGAGTCTCAAGTGATGCCTCTGAAAATTCACCACAACCTATGAGCACCTAAAGTACACAATCTTCGTGTAGTTTCTTTATGGTACCCATCATTTGAGCACTTCCCGATATATTTCATCATCCCTTCCGATGTGTTTGTTTGATACGGATTCCCAGTTCATTCATCATCCCCATAAAACCAGTTGCTCTAGACAACCATCAGTTTTGCTTCAGATTCTAGTTGTTTTCCATTTTTTTAGTGAATAGCCTCTGGTGTCATCAAACCTTGGCTAAATGGCTTAGGCTGGAAAACACCTTATGGCTACGATGATGAAGATGATGATGATGATGATGATGGTTTTTCATGCATTATGCACTCATTATATATTAAATGTCATTCAATAATGAATGGATTGTCCCTGGATTCTTGAGGATCATCACAAACTGCTTGGTGGTGCAATAACCATGTTGAAACATATGAGTTCGTCAATGACAATGGGAAGGATGACATCCCATATGTTATGGAAAATAATCCAGCCATGTTTGAAACCACCAAGCAGCAAATTAATATCCCTATCATAGCCATGTTTGATGACAGCTCGCTTTGGCCCCAGCCAACTTGAACAGGAGCGATGTCTCCGTGGGATCTCCTAGCGGTTTTGTTGGTGGTTGGTTTACAGAGATAGATATGTGGCCTTTTTTGCACCAAAAAAATGGCATCAACTGACTGGAGATATTCGAAGTCCAAGTGATTTAACTGAGATTTCTGGAGTGATGCCAGATATATATGGTTTCAATCAGAGATAGAGTAATTTAACTGAGATATCGTTACTGAAGTTATTATGACTCTATCTCTGACTGAAACGAATTCAGAAACGATTTCTGGAGAGACGAAAACTGGCCATTGAACTGGTCATCCCCCGTCTGACGAAGTGACTTCGAAATGGATTGGTTTATGGCTGCGATTGGTTGACCATGGCAAAAATCCATGGTAATTGGTTTAGTCGGGAAAATCCAGAGGAAACCATAGCATTTTTACGATCAAATTAATAGGGTTTTCCATGGTTTTCCTGTAGATTTTCCCATCATCCAATTCTATGAAAAAAGGCTGGAGGCTTTTTTTAGCAGGCTTTTGCTCAGGGGGCACAAGATCGACTCAGCAAAGATGACAGCAAAGGTGGAGGCCGCTGCTAGTTGTTAGTGCTGTCACTGTTGCTTTGTCAAACAGACAGGATAAACTATAATAAGTTCTTTGGTGGCGACTGGGTCACGGGTCAACCAAAGCCGTTTTTTGAAACTTTTGCTAGCGCATTGCTAGCGGGGATCTAGCGGGTAAAATTACGCACAATTCGCAAACTTGAGCCGCAACCTCAAAAATATAGGAAAATTGTTGAGTAGCACAGAAATTCACTGAGACATCCTTGGGTTTAATCATAAGATTGCTAGGGCCCCCCACCCTAAGTACCCCCCCCACCATTAAAAATAAGACCTTATTAAGGCTTTATTAAGGCCTTAACAACGCGCTAATAAGGAAATCTTAAAATAAGCTGGGAATAAGGCAGGAATAAGGAAAAATTATTATTCACCCTTTATTCACTGCTTATTTTCAGAGCATCACAAGACAAGAGGTAATGTATTGGTAATGTTGGGAAATAACCAGAAATGGCAAAATTTCTTTGGGTATGCCCTGATAGATTGGAATAATTGATTGATTGACACACCCCCTGAACTCCATTCGCATGCGCTGCTCACCCCTTATTTCTTTTCCAGATGAACTATGTTGGGTATATTTCCGCATGGGTTATTTTCACCATATTCCCACATTATTTCCTCCAGGAGCTCAATTCCAGAAATAAGCTGTGAATAGGTAACTGTTGGGGGGGGTACTTAGGGGGGGTCTTTGAAACCTCATGATTTAAGGAGCTAAGTGTTACATCTTGACTTTTCTTCATGTTGAAATAACAAGCAGACAGGAGCACAAAAAAATATCCGTGAACATGGGTGTGAAAAAAATCTAGCGCAAACCTAGCGGGTTTGCTAGCGCTGCCTTGCAGAATTGGTGAATTTAGTTGCGTGCCGCCTCATAACAAGAGGAAAAACAACTAGGTCCACACTAATTATCAACAACTAGTACAAAACTTCTGTCAACTATGTTTGGCAAATGGTCATATATATATATATATAACTAGATAGTTATATTAATGCAATTCTAGCAGTCATCATGGTTGCAATCATACATAATCAATATATATATATATATATATTCATGTATTATTATCTAGAGAATTCATTGTGACCTTGACAGTTGATGTACGAATCATGGACCCAGGACAGCTTCTCTCGCCTTGGAATCACTGAGTTCACCTGGGCAAAATGTACGAGGAGAACTTGGACGAACTGGGATGCAGAGGGGTACCCTCTGGTTATTATTATTTGTTGGGTACATAATGGGTAAATAATTTGGAATATAGTGGCTGGTTGGTGGTTTCAACCCCTCTGAAAAATATTAGTCAGTTGGGGTCACTATTCCCAATGTATGGAAAAATAAAAAATGTTCCAAACCACCAACCAGGTGGAATATAGTCGGGATACAATGGAGATATAACCAACCCACCAGCAGCTGAGAAGCAATCTAGCAGAAGTACACTGGAGCAGCAGTGGAGCGGCAGGGAAGAAGCCTAGTTGTCTAGCAGCAAGCTAGCAGCAGATTGGCAGGACTGGAAGTAGGAGTGAAGCAGCAGTTGGGAAGCAGTCTAGCAGCAGTTTGGCAGCAACTGGGCAACAGTTTGGCATCCCAATCTACAGTAGCAGCAGCCTAGACGGCGTTCAGCAGCTCTTGAGCAGCAGATTTACAGCAAGCCAGTAGCAGCACTGCAGCAGCAGAAGCGGCAGCAGATCGGCTGAGAGAAAGAGAGACAAAGGCGGAGAGCATGCTGCGGTAGAAACAAGCATACAAGACATCATCTGTACAACAAGAGTCGGCAAAGCACCCACGAATTGCACCTAATTGAATAGATGAATCGATGTGACCCTTCCCAAATACGTTTCCTAAAGGTACGGAGACATTTGAAGGAAATCGATGCGACTAACATGTTCAACTGTAGTTCTGTTTTTGAACGCAGAACTCCATGGGACACCGGTTTCGCAACGACTTCCCCAAAATGCAAAGCAGCAAGTTACAAAGCCAAAATATTGAACACGCAACGACTTTCACACTTGCGAGTACATGTGCTGTGCATTGACGTAGCACGTGCCTCACGTGAAGCGCACTGATTTTACATGTGGCAGTGACCATGCACTAGTTCACAGGCGTGATGTCTCCTTTGATGATGGAGTGTGCATGAAATGAGACTTTCGTTCCACAGAAGTCAGAACACGTTGATGTTTTTCTTGGTTTTGCTCAATTGCATGCTGAAAAAACCCATGAATTACCGGAGTGACCATCGTCGTCGCCGAAGACTCCGATAACATCACCATGCTGAGGCTCTTACTCTCAAAGCCTTCGGGCATGCAAAGCCTTGGTTGAAACTGTTTTGCACCACCACCATCCACCACCATCCACCACCATCATCCAATTCATGCGGCAAACGCAGGTTCGAATCCAATCTTGAAGTGTAACGAAGAGTGGTCGGAAGCTGGAAAGATTGGAAGATTTGGAAAGCAGCCAGCAGCTTTGGGGGCTGGAAGCATCAGGCAACATCATTCAAGTCAGGATCAGGCAAGGTCGCGCTTTCCCCCCTACCATTGCCACAAAACAAACAGAGGGCCCAAGCATCAAAACTACACCCAGTCAAAGGGATGGAAAAAACAAAAACATTTTAGAAAAAAAACAATATAGGATGCAGGATGCAATTATGTTCAGTGATCATTTTTTCAACATGAAAGAACATCATCTCCGTCTCAACATGCGTGGCTGAGGTGATGCAGTAAAGATGCGAAGTGACATCGATCCAGAGAAATTGAACGAACTAACGAACAAACAATCAATGACATACAAATCAGACAATGACAATGTTCCTGAACTCTAATCATGTTGTGCGTGCTGGATGGCAAAGCCATTGCTTCTTCATCACCTTCTAGGGGTTTCATCCAATCTTTTTGATCCACCATGTCTTGTGAAAAATAACGATTTTTTCGCTTTAATCAAAACATATCTGGAAAAAAAATCCAGGACCTCCATTTTCATCATTTTTCATCGCTCCGGACATTGCTGGGAAATTGTGACATGGTCCGATCCCTCTAAGGTCCCCGTCAATTTGAAGTCCAACAAGAACTCGGGAAAGTAGCGCCCCTCTGCCTCCACAGCTTCAGGAAGTCAGGATCAATGATTAGCGGCATGCCACCGCATATAGTATAGTATGATATAGTATGATTTTTTTGTGGTGTATAATCTCGTAAATCCAATACATAACAAATCTACCATGACTGGGGATGGTTTATACTAGTTTATACTGCCCATTTGTGGTGATATTGGGGCTGGTTTATAATTGAATTTACCACATTACTGCATACACTTCATATTCAGCAAAGAATCCAGTGCATCTTGCAGTTATTTTTCGCAGATGTCATGGGATATAGTGCCACACCTCCATCGTTGCAACGGTAGTTGGTTGGCCAATCTGGGGGCATGGTGTTTATGTATATGTACATGTTATGCAAATATATATTATATATACAGATACATATAATTATCTTAGTTATATTCAATTATCACACGTACATAATTATACCTAATTATGTTATATAATATATATATATAATTAAATATATCTGTGCATAATGATGTGTACATGTATATGCTAGCGGGGTGAAAACCGCGCGTGCGCGTGTAGTTGTGTACATTTTATGAAGACAGTTAAAGTTGTGGGGTGGGGGGGTGGGCTAATAACGTTCTTCCGGACTACAACACATACGCCATGCTACGCTGCTGTACGTTCTCATGGACTTCTACACATGCGCCATGCTACGCTGCTGTACGTTCTCACGCACTCCTACACATATGTTCTTATGGACTTCTGCACATACGCCATGCTACACTGCTGCACGTTCTCATGGACTTCTGCACATACGCCATGCTACACTGCTGCACGTTCTCATGGACTTCTGCACATACGCCATGCTACGCTGCTGTACGTTCTCATGCGCTTCTACGCATACGCCATGCTACGCTGCTGTACGTTTTTATGGACTTCTGCACATACGTCATGCTACGCTGCTGTACGTTCTCATGCACTTCTACACATACGCCATGCTACGCTGCTGTACGTTCTCATTGACTTCTGAAAATGCGCCATGCTTCACTGCTGTACGTTCTCATGCACTTCTACAGATATGCCATGCTACGCTGCAGTGATAAAAAAGACTTGATGTCAGTCACTGGCCACGTTTGCACAAGCGATTGCAGAAATGAGGAGGAAAACGACGTCGCGCCTTGAAGAAGCTGTGCCCTGTTAAAAACAATAGGATGTTAAAATGTGTCTTCAAAATCCCCGGGATTTTCAAGGTGCAATTGTAACATGAAATGATGACGGCGCTATGGCGCCAAGCACATTTGATTCCAAAACTTGAACAACTGCTAGCGCGGTTGTCACCCCGCCGGGATGTATATGTATTATACATATATATGTATATATATAGTGTGTGTGTGGGTGTGTGCAGCTATATGGGTTTTAAGTACCTCATCCCTTGAAAAAACTTCCAATCCACCTGACAGCGTTTGATGAGGCTGGCAGACTTTTCTTCCAGCAGCAACTCGGCCTTGAGCGCCGATGAAAAATTCGGGGGTTCTGATGTCCAAATGGCAGTTTAATGGGATTATGGGATGTTTCATAGGATTCTATGGTGATGTAGTGAGAGTTGCCCAAGAAAAAATTGTATATTTTAATCGGAATTAGCCTCCGATGTTTTCACATCACCCAACTATTAACTATTGGTGTATAATCATTTCAATCAACTGTGATTCTTGAATCCTATATAATCATCACACATCTAATATATGTCCTATATCATCTCCATCAGATTTTTTCACGTGATGTGATGTGAAACAAATCTCCATTCAAAAGGGCATTTACCAACCCCTGAACTACTGTATAAATAATTTGGGCAAACCCAACAACATAAAAAATAAGCGTCCATGGCGTGTGCCAATCATTTTGTGGAATTAGTTCAACCGCATCATGACTAAAATGATGGCACTGTCTGATTTTCGTTTGCCTTTTGGCTGAAACTCTTCATCGAGCCAAATAATTATGTCTTGAGCTATGTATAAAACTTGTAGAAATCAATGCGGTTGTCAAACAATTAACTCAACCCCTTTCGCATGAGCGTTGGTTGCGCCAATTATGTTCACAAATCATGTCATGACCAACGGTGACAAACATGATTTACAATTGCACTGTTTGATTCTGAGTGTGTTCTTGGCTGAAACTATTCACACATGTTTTGTGTTTGTATGTGTTTTTTTTTCACCGTTGGTTCCACTCATTGTTCCTCTACTTTCCTCAATGTTGTAGTTCTGCCAAAACTGATATGTTATGATATGTTCAAAAGCATACGATTGTAAAACCCCCCATGAGCCACCCATAATGACAAGCACTGGTCTATATATATATATACACACAGTTGCAATTAACTTAAAACATCAATAATTCAGACCTGTATACCGTAAATAATATGCAACACCTTTGGCAATTAAACATGTGGAAAATGTCACCACTTTGGAGGCAAATCCGTGAGCTGGACCATGGCCGGGTAAATCCCTAACATTCCATGAATAGACCATAAATATTTCACTATATCCCCATGAAATACCATATGTATGGAGGTTTCCTAAGTCATGGTGGTGCCCCTTTATCGCTGGATTGTTGATTTCACGGAACATCCCAATCGAAAATGGATGATGAACAGGGGTACCCCTATGACAAAACGGAAACCTCCAAATAGCTAAATATAGAGAACCATTCTTCCAAGGCATAAAAACAAACAAAAGATCCTTGGATTTCCTAAGTATAACCACTCATAAACCATTTTTGGATATTCTACCTATACTGGTTGGTGGTATACCTACCCCTCTGAAAAATATGAGTTCGTCAGTTGGGATGATGGCATTCCCAACTGAATGGAAAGTCATAAAAGCCATGTTCCAAACCACCATTTCTCCCATTTCCATTTCGCGCTGCTGTAGTAATCGACAGCAGCCCACTTTCAGGCGCCTCACTGACACGATGTGAATGGAATGAAAGGAAAAGCGTCATTTCTCTTGGCAACCGGAAGAGTATCAATGGCCTTACTCTGTCTCCGGAATGGTTGATCTGTAAACTGCCTGAGCCACCTATCCACCGCATGGAGCCGAGAACGCGGCCACGGGACAGCAACACAGCCAACAAACATTGAGATCATGACGCTAGCTGGCTTGCAATACGCAGACTCAAAAGGGAGCTGCATGTGACGCATCACTTCTTTCACGACTTTGATGAACCACTTCGTCCTCTGTTTAAAAGAAGGCTGCACAAGCCCAAACAAAGGAACATTCGACCCTTCTTTCCAACCATGAAACTTGACAGGCCCCACAAGGCCAGTGGAGCTGGTAAAGTCAATGAACAGCTGCAGATGTGAAATCCATTGCACCGGCTCAACTGAATCAAATAGAGTACTCCACCACCAGCTGACGATTGAACGCACAATTTCATCACCATACCAACGCAAAGCTCCACGTGGCAGTTGTGCAAGCGGCAGCAGTGTCTTCCATGTAGGCGTAGGGCCCTCAGGCAAAACATCAGGTTCGTGGACAGCTACGCTTTCATTTCTCAAGACATGCTGACTGACACGAAGAAGAACCCTCTGAACTTCAGCACTCCACTGATCACACTTCAGACACGCACTGACATGGCATGAAAGGAGTCTCCAAAACCCTTCTGGCCTATGCAAGTTAGCCCTGCCTGCTACTTGGTCAGAGAAATGATTATGCAAAAAACACCACTCTTCAAACGGCGTGCTGGCATGCTGAACATCCCTGTGTGCTGCAACCTTAGTGATTTGGACACGATGGGAACCAAGGGACTTGAGATCATCTGCAATTCGTCTCCACAGGTCTGCATTCGGTGAGTTCGGGCGAACTCTACCTCCTAACAACAGACGATTCAGGCGGGACACGACTGACAGGCAATCTGACCAAATATGGATAGACTGCGCATGGACCGCAGCAAACCTTATGGCTCGACAAACCCCGTACAACTCTGCTCGGACAGACGTCTGGCGTAATCCGGGCAAGACTCCACAATCAAGAATCAAAGCAGCTGACTCCATCAGAGGATCAGCAATCACAACCGACCAGGCAGCAAACCTACAATCAGGATATTGTGGGTTGGCACAACTCCCATCTGTGAACAAGTGCATGACGTCTGGCGAGTTCATCGGAATGACCGGAATGGTCTGCTCAGGGACACTCGCAAGGTAGGCATACCACTCATGAAATGTGCTAGGTCTGAGGGCCCAACCATACGAAACCATGCACTCAGGCAAACTGGGAAGTGCATCATGAAGGTCGGAACAAATCCCTTGACGATGCTCATCAAAATGTGGGCACAACCAAAACCTATGAAACCGCGAGTCACTGGAGTGGCAAAAGCTACAGACATCGGAATCACATTCTTGGCAATGGTGCTTACCGTCTTGGGTTATATGAGCCCCATTGAGGAGCTTCCTGCAGCAGGCTTGGTCTGAATTGGACAACGACTGGAGCCACTTGCGAGTCTTTTTGGGATCTGCACGGCCAAGATCTGCCAAACCAGGGCGATGAGCCACCCTGGAGGAAACCACTCTCAACCAGGCATATTCCATCCTCCACTTCAACTCTTCAATGGAGACCTCAAAAAGGGAAAACCAGCCAGAGTCATCCACCAGCCCGTCACCTTCAACCCTCCAGCCTAAGGTGTGGATGCGAGTAAGCAAGGTGGTGGTAATTCCATTTCTTGGAAATCGATCATCGCCTGCTGCAACTGTCTGAAGCACCGGACATACAACATCAGGAATGCCGCAATCACGCACCATTCTAAACGTTTGTAAAATTGTCCAAAACTGCGGATCTGTTTCAGGTAGTTCAATGAGACCAAGATGAACATGTGAGCTCACCCCCGCCCCTTCTGCATCCAATCCTTTCATTGCACCTGCTCTCAGGGTCTTAAACGTGCTATTGGCAATGGTGGTGGCTGGGATGGCATGCAACCCTTTCGGCCAGGCTGCTGCACGGACAGCATGCACCTTATACCTATACGGCGTAGAAGACAACCTAAGCTTAGGCCAAATCCCCTGCAGGGTCCGGACCCTCTGCATTTGTGTGGAGTTCGTATGCTTCCGTGAGAGCTGAATGTGAGCACCCAGAGACCGACACTGTGTGACAACAACAAAACCAGCCTCTTGCAGGATCTGGCGTCCCTGAGAACAAACGGACCACATGCTCGTCTTTTTGCCATCAATTTGCAGGTCAATTGCATCAGTGAAAGATTGCAAACACCTAAAAAGGGCATCCATGACCGAGGGATTTGTGGTTACCAGAGTCCAATCATCAACATAGGAGACAGGTTGGCAAAGCGGAAAGAAAAAACCATGCCACAAGTGAAATAGCACATCAATGATAACCATTCCCAGGCACGACAATCCATCGCCTTCAGGCATACCAGTGGAGCTAAAAACCGGTGGTGAGAGGAAATCGCCCAACTGAAACCTACGACCAAGCTGAGACAACGCTCCTGCCCAGGCTGTAAGGACAGCCATAGGCACCCCCAAAATTGCCGCGGCTTCAAAAATCACCAGCCTCGGGAGACAATTGAAAGCTTTCTGAATGTCCGCAAAGACCCCCGAAAGAGCAATCTGGCTGGCAGTCGCATGTTCAACAACCCAAAGCAATTGGGCCCAAACCTGGCCAGCATATCTAGCTGGACGCGATCCAAACAAAGTGTCAGGCAAGATGGCTTCCAACTGGCGACTTGCTTGTTTCGCATGGAACGACCCCCAGCAACGATACAAAAGGCCCAAAATGGTGATTGGTCGGTAGTCCATAACCCCACTAGGACAATCATTCTTTGCAAGACCCACAACTTTGCCATCAAGCAATTGAGACGGCCAGTTTCCAGTGGCTTCCGCTTCTGCAAAAATGGAGCAAAAATTTTGCAAAACACTCTCAGGCATCGAGCGCAAATCAGCCAAAGACACACCATCTAACCCAGAAGCAGACGTCGACTTCTTGTGTGCAATGATATTCGCCAATGCACTGGGATCAATCATTGGCCAAGACATAGTACATCTGGGCAAATGCTGCCGAGCAAAAGAAAGTATTATATCCCAGCGGTCAGGTGGAACATTCTTGTGTCGATCCCATCGGGAGCTCCATTCTTCCATGAATGCCCTGCAGAGATCCTGTTTGGTACCTGTTCTCTGGAGTTGGACAACCACCTGGCCAGGCTGAACTCCCGAAACATCAGACACCCAGACACAGTCATGGTCAACATGAATCACATCCAACTGCACCCCATTGCAAAAGATCGGACAATGATGATCCCATTCCTGCGGGTGGTCAACAATCAAAGAGCAGTCATGATCACAAACTTCAAGAACCTTCGTCTTCAGCGGTTTGAGCAGAAAATCAACCCCCTGGGGAGGAGGTTCTTTCAGGTCACGAAACAAAACATTGGGCTTACATGCTCTGCGCAGCCGAGCATATTGCCGTGAAGTGGATTTGAGGGCATGCTCAAGCGCCCTGACTTCAATGACCATGGTTTCAAAAATACTCGTAGCTCCACAGAGGTCAGGTGGTTCCCACGGGATCTTGGATGGTGCCCCATACGTTTTGGTCACTAAAGTGTCCCACCAGGCCGCAAAACCTCCAACAAATCCCTTAGCCATCAGGATCGCATTCCAGACTTGATGGGCATAAGGGGAGTCAGCTCCCCGAACCTGCACATGACGCAGAAAAGCCTGGATTCTGCGAACTTGCCGGATCCATTGAGCATGTCGGAATGACGCACCAAAAAATTGTGGGGAAAAGTCACCCGTTCTCCCGACCTTCAACGGTGGACATCGGCCAACACGTCTAGTTTTTGGGGCAATGGTCTGAGCACGACCCTTGACTTGTTTTCCAGGACAAAACGGCAGCGCATCTGAGGCAGCTTTTTCAACCATGTTCCAAAGGGCAGCATACTTCTCGGAGGGATCACCAGGCAATGATGTCCATGCATCAGGAGAAATTTCCCACGGCTTAGGCCATGGAAACGGACCTGGAACTCTCCAAAAATCACGTGGAACCGATGTTCTCAAGCGGGCAAAGTGCCCTTGCAACACTGCATGGTCAGGCCACACATCACTCAACACAGAGACATTCAACAGCAAGGCCTGAAGCTCTGGCGAGATGAAACAAAAATCTTTGCGGGTACGGTGTTTGCACGTTGGTTGGGGGGCAAGTCCCCATCGTTCTTCAGCCAAGTCTTGGAGATCCTTAAACCCGGCTTGCGCAAGTAAATCAAAGGCAGGAAGCTCGCCAAAGTTAACATTCCAATCACCAGCAACAAATCTGGGCCCAACCGAGAGAAAACAAACTGTACTCACGACCGCATGCAACAAGGCTTCTGTATGTCGAAGTCGATCAGGGTAAAGATGGCTTTCAGGCTCACCATAAACCACTCCTCCAGTCAACCAGACATCATCAACCAAGGTAGTGACTGCTAGGGCTCGACTGGATTGCTGGATTTCCATGGGCCAATCATGAGGAATCTTACGAACAGGAGTCTTTGCAAGAACCCCAACACCCTTCCAACACCCAGCATTGCTTTTGGAGACGGGAACAGGATGTCCACCAACCAACGGATGAAACCCAGAACCTGCGAATTTGAGTCCAGCATTGAAGGAAGCCAACCCTCTCGTGCACAAGTGAGTTTCACTGAAAGCCCAAACATCACCATGCTCCATCTGTGACATGACGTAAGGCGCCTTACTTCGCAACCCCGTAGGGTTAGCAACCCCAAGAATGAAACATGAGTCTTCAGGACCAGGGTGAGATGCTTCCCCAATCCGAATCAAAAGAAGAAAAGCACATAAACGGGCCAAAGGGAACTGACATCGGTTTCGGCCACATCGATGTGTAAAACAGCACACAGCTGTGAACCCCTGAAAAAATTTGGGCACCAGGACAGTGACAAGGCATTGAATCCACATCCAGCACAGGACAAAAGCAGTCAGTGCCCAATCCAACCATCCACGCCCACACCTTCATTCTCCATCATCGCGGGGCCTTTTAGCCAGCAAGCCTCTGATATGTGCAAGTTGCGTCTCGAACATCGCCTGCATGCTCTGGTTCTGCTGTTCAAGCTGGCCATGCATCTGCTGGGCATTCGCATGAACCTGAGATTGAAGCGAGGCAACCTGCTGAGTCTGCTGAACCGAAAATTCCCCAAACTGAGTTTCAATCTGCGTTTGCTTGTGAAGAAGGTGATGCACTTGGCTTTCCAAAGTGCTGAGCCTGTCAGGCACATCATCTTCCATTGACTGTGGCATTTTGGCTAGCACAGCACGTTGGATCCTACTCTCCATTTGCTGAAGACTCTCTGAGGCAGCAGGAGCATTCACAACTGGCGCAGTGGAACTGGGGGCATACGATCCCCATGGGTCCTGTTTGATCCATGGATCTTCTCGACTGGATTGCTGCTGTCCACACAAAGCTAGAGTAGCCGGTGAAGCAACTGGAACTGACAGAGTGGTACGTTCAGGCTGATCAGATCCCTTCTGTTTTGAGATCACAACTTCCACATGGCTAGTCAACACAATGGAGTTCGGTGGCGGATCTACAGCCTGAAGCACCCACATGGCTCCTCTTCCAGGCTGCGGCGCAGCAGGCTGGAGAGGTTTGCAATCCCATCCAACCTGTTTCATGGCCTTTGAAATCCCTTGCCTATCCAGTCCAAAAGGAAATGGCCCTGCCGTGTAATGAACCCTTGCACCTTGAGGGAGAAACAGCGTATCTGGGCGAACCACACTGTGCACCTGCTGCGCTTGAGCAGCTGGTACTCTGAGACCTCTTCTATCCCCTACCCGAGCAAGTCCAAGCACTGCCGGGTTAGTCTGCCTCGTGTGATGAAGTGACTGCAAAGTGTGTTTCGGCATCCAGATGACCATATACTCACTCATGACTTCTTTGCCATCCGCAGTCCTGGGCTCTACATACACACCAAGGTGACCACTGCGCTGGAGAATTTTGTCCAAGAGGCATGAAGGCACCCGCATTGACACACAGAAGAAGTCTGCCTGAAGAGCATCAACCTGCTTGAAACCGAACTTCAAGAATTGGCGCTTCCAAAGGTCAAGGATTGGCTCTCGGATAGGAATTCCTTCTTCATTGTGCCAAGCAGCACATGTACATCCCTCAGTCATACATCTTTTGAGTTCCGGGATAAGACCAACAATGCCACGAATGGGAGCCTTGCTGAATGATTCCCAGGGTTCACCAAATTCATCCTTGAAAACTGATACCTTGATTGTGCAAACATCTGGAGAGTCAACTGCAATGACGTCAGTGCCCGACCACTTCTCCACTGATCCAGTGCCAATCTGTACCAGAGTGGCTTCGGCCAAGATCGGTTCATTGTCTACCATGCATCGACATGGTACCGTGCATGGATGCTGCGACAACATTGATTGAAGGGACACATCACGCCTGTGAAAGACCACCAGCGCAAGAGGCTCTTGAGACACTTTCTTTCCACAGGTCAAATACGGTTCAGCTTCAGCAAGATTCATAAGCACATAGCCAGTGCTCAATGGGCCAATTTGCTGAGGGCTCAATTGAGGCAACACCTGGCCTTGCGCCCGGAAAGTGCCTTCCAACACTTGCAGTTTGGAAGGGTCAATCTCAATCGGGGCTGGTACGCCTGGCGGCGCCTTTTCTTTTGCGGATTTCTTACCAACAGGCTTAGATTTGTTGCTTTCAACAACAGCAGCCAGCTCAGAGGGCAAGACAAACTTGAAATTCACGTTGTTCCCTAACGCCTTCAATTGGCGCCATGGTTGCTTGTGCTGAAGCGCTTGCAAAAGTTGATCAGAACCAATGGCCTTAATCGCTTGGGACGCTCTGGATTCAGTGAGGTGAGCCGGGACTCCATGACGAAGAAGCTCTTCTGAGAGGGATTTGATAAGCACCCCACTTCCACCTGCTCCCCAAATCACTGGGCATCGGCACACACTATCCGCATACATTTCTTGGACAAATGACGCCCTTTGAGCCGTGAACATGTCTTCCAACCCTCGCAAATCTTGAGGCAAGTCAGCTTGAAGCAAAACATGAGCAAGAAAGGACAGTGCCTGAGAGCCACACAATCTGTGATCCGGCAATCCCTGAGGAATACGGTGGATGACGACCTCTTCAAATCCCAAGTGCAAGCCCATCCATCGAATGCGGCCCTCAACAATGTCCCAATCAAGCCAGTCATTGAAGGTGTGAGCAACCAAAACCCTACCCCCAGGAACCAACCAAAAAGGGATCCAATGGTCATCAATCAGCATCACCGTAACAACCTGTTGACCTTCTGATCGAACCTGTGGAAACGACACACACCACTTTTCAGTAAGGACATGGCCTGTTTCATCCCAGTTCCAGAAATTGAGGCAATCAAAAGCCATGAAAAAGGGACGAAATCGGTTGGCAGTCAGGCGTTGCTCATTGTAACGATCAACCAAAACATTCAAGTGGAAGCGAATTTCATCATCAGCCATGTCACGGCCATGTTGAGCCATCAGGTCAAGTCTGTCGTCAAGGGATATGCACATGTGAGAGGAAAGAACCCTGTTGGAGTCATATACCCTGGGTGGAGCTGCTGAGGAGGCTGCAGCACCACCAGTATTGGCAGGAGAGGAATCATGGGATGGCCAACTCTTCTCCGTGGCCTCATCATCTCCTTGGCCCCAAATCCAAGGGCGCATCACCTGGGTATGTTGGCTAAGGCATTCTACAAACTTCTCACGTAACCAATTGTGTGAATCCATAGCCTCATTCTGGGTGGCGGGCAGCTGGGTTCCAAACAGGACATGTCGGACATAGTGCACTGCAAGGGCACCACACAATCGGCTTGAAAAGAACATTCTTTGCTGTCTGTGAATGAGGAAAGTCCCAAATCCCCAAGGAAACGCCAACTTCTCAATCATGCCATTCAAAACATCATGAGAGTTCTCAGGTGCATCCCACGTGAACACATTTACATGCCTTCCATTGGGGACAAAATGGACTGGAATCCAGTGCTGTTCAACACGAACCACCATGATGACCTGAATCGCCTGTGAGCACACTTCAGGATGGGCAGCAGCCCATTGTTCACACGCAAATGCACGGTTCTGAATCCAAGCAGCTGAAACCAGAGGGTCAACTATGATCAAGCCATGACCACCATCTCCCTTAGGCTTACCCTGAAACGCTTGCTGAATCAAGTGCAAATGGAAGCGAATTTCATCATCAGCCCAAAGATCCTGATGTTTTCCAAGCAATTGCATGCGATCTGTGCTACGAATGAATCTGCCTCGCAAAGAGGTCAATTGCTGTGAGTCAGCAATGCACGGGACCAAAAGGTTCAGAAACTGGTTGGAGTCCAAGCCAAGGAGTGAATCAGCAGATCCCCACACATCAGCAACACCTCCAACAATCGAGCAAATTCCAACATCAACAGGCACTTGCACGGATGTTTGCACTCCATCATGAGAGGCTGCTGGCACCGAGAAACATGGGTGAGCCCACGGGACAGTAGGATCAACAACCCTTTGATTTTCCACACTTTCTGCATCTGGTTGATGCACTGCACCCTCAGGCAAGTTGGGGGCAGGCAAGCCAGCATTTCGATGAGCACCCACGGGCATTTTAGGGAGTGGCCCGCATTCCCCAGACACATCACCGGGCAATTTAGGGAGTGGCCCGTATTCCCGCTTCTTCTCCTCAGGGCAAAGATCAGGCATCACCGTAGGGTTCATACCAGACCGAGACGGAGACATGACCACATCAGGCAAACAAGGGACATGTGGGACCGTACATGCAAGATCATGGCAGACCTGGACACCAAATGGGACACCACAGCCGGCACTCGACAGGCATACTTGGACATGTTGACCAACCTGCATGACATGAGACATCGGCAACTCATTCCCATGGACATCAAGGAGTCGGCAAACCCAAAATGCACCTACAAGTTTTGCATGAGCAGTCAAGCATTCAGTGACGGCAGTACCTCCTGCAAATGACAACGGCTCAGCATGCTCTTCAGTACCGACAAAGGTGAGAAAGCACTTGTCAAGTTCCAAGCAAAGTTCTTTCTCCCTTGGGATCAACTACAACTGAGTCAAACCAAGGAGTCTCAGGCTCATCCTGCATAATGGACGATGGCACAGGTTCAGGCTCATTCATCGAAGACCTTATGACAACGCCCAAAACAGCTGCAATAGATACATCCCTGTCACAGAGATCCTCCCATCTTCCTGAGTCAATCAATTGGTTGAGAAAAAGACCATCCACACATTTCCAAGTCTCTACCAGTTGAACCATTTTTGGATCTTGAATCATCTGATCTTTACATGGCCAAACTACCTGTGATCGCATGAGAAGCCATGACCGAAATGCCTGCAACTGGGAAAAGGGCGGAAAGTCACATTTTCCAAATCGCAGCTCATCAATTCTGGCTGAGATGAAGGAAAGAACCCACAAGGACTGGAGTGGACTGGCAATCTGACCAATGGCTGACAATGTCAATCTGACGTCTTCACCGAAATCGATGATGGGATCCATTCCCACCAAAATCAAGGCCTCACTCGGATGCAAATGTCGTAAACTTGAATGATCACCATTGTCAGCTGCACTGCACAAGAGACATCCAAACAATCCCTTTCTGCCAATGACCTGCACGACAACCACACGGGCATGCACGCAACTGTGATCCATATGCATGGAGAAAACACGGTGCCACATCTCCTGGTTTCAAAAGATAACGGGAATACGATCCATCTTCAGCTCCAAATGCCTGCATCTCACCGGCATCCAAAGACAAGGCCATTTCATCTTTGGGATCCCATCTGCACACATATGGAATCAACCGCTGGACAATGTCAATTTCTTTCATGGGTGGCCAGTCAACTAACCCCACACGACCCAAAATTGGACTCGACAAAATCCACCAAGTTCGAGCACGACGACAAGGCCAAATGGACTCAAGGCTCAGATCGACAACCTCTGTGCGGAAATTCATGAGCTTGGCAAATGCATCAATGGACTGAGCCACAAAAGTGTTCTTCCTAGCCGGCGTGACACATTCCAAAACCAAGACATGGACTTGTAACATGTAGGCTGCACGAAGTACACTGGTGAGAGATGCTGACCTGGGATCATCTTTGCCTCTCTGATCGCCAAGGGCACAGTACGGCTGGCATGAAAACCCCCCGGACATGATTGCTGCCCGTTCAGACCTTTGCCATATCTTGAAAATGGTCTCATTACTTCCAACATCGCCATGAATGACCTCAGAGCTATCATGCTTGGTATGCAAATGAAGCATCTTCTCATTGAAATCCACTGCGACAGTCGTCCTCATTCCAAGGGCCTGTCCTCCATGCGCAATCCCACCAAAGCCTGAGCAAACGTCCACAAGCTTTCGAAAGTCCTGCCAACCTGGACGAGCATGAGAAAGAATCTGAGTCATTTCTCCACATATCATCCGGGGCATTGGATATTGACAAGCAAGAACAGCATCACAGATGGTATAGGAGTTATATCCAGCATCTAACAGACCCGTATAGAAGCACAGCATTCCTGAGTGTTTGATCTGAAGGAGATGTGAATCATGTGTCGGATCATACGTCAGAAGTTCCACCACCACTGTTATACAGCCACCATTAGGGATCGATGAGAATTCCGAGCCATGGCCAAAGGATAAATCGGGTACACCCAAGGATCAGCTAGCGCGGCCACACCAAACCTGACAGGTCTTGGGCCTCGTGGCTGTTCCAAACCACCAACCAGATTACTTAGGACATCTTAGGACCATAGGAAGAGTTCTTCATAATTCAAAATTAATAAACCATTAATAAACCATTAATAAACCATTAATAAACCATTAATCAGCCATTAGTAAACCATTAATCAACCATTAATCAACCATTAATCAACCATTAATCACCCATTAATCAACCATTAATCAACCACTAATAAACCATTAATCAACCATTAATCAACCATTACAAAACCATTAATAAACCATTAATAAACCATTAATAAATCATTAATAAACCATTAATCAACCATTAGTAAACCATTAATAAACCATTAATCAACCATTAATCAACCATTAATCAACCATTAATCAACCATTAATCAACCATTAATCAACCATTAATCAACCATTAATCAACCATTAATCAACCATTAATCAACCATTAATAAACCATTAATCAACCATTAATCAACCATCAATAAACCATTAATCAACCATTAATGAACCATTAATCAACCATTAATCAACCATTAATCAACCATTAATCAACCATTAATAAACCGTTAATCAACCATTAATAAACCATCAATAACCCATGAATAAACCATTCATAAACCATTAATCAACCATTAATCAACAATTAATCAACCATCAATAAACCAGTAATCAACCATTAATAAACCATTAATCAACCATTAATCAACCATCAATAAACCATTAATCAACCATTAATCAACCATTAATAAACCATTTATAAACCACCAATAAACCATTAATAAACCATTAATCAACCATTAATAAACCACTAATAAACCATTAATAAACCATTAATAAACAATTAATCAACCATTAAGAAACCATTGATAAACCATTAATCAACCATTAATCAACCATTAATCAACCATCAATAAACCATTAATCAACCATTAATCAACCATTAATAAACCATTAATCAACTATTAATCAAACATTAATCAACCATTAATAAACCATTACTAAACCATTAATAAACCATTAATAAACCGTTAATAAACCATTAATCAACCATTAATCAACCATTAATAAACCATTAATAAACCATTAATCAACCATTAATCAACCATTAATCAACCATTAATAAACCATTAATCAACCATTAATCAACCATTAATCAGCCATTAATCAACCATCAATAAACCATTAATCAACCATTAATCAACCATTAATAAACCATTAATCAACCATTAATCAACCATTAATCAACCATTAATCAACCATTAATCAACCATTAATAAACCATTAATAAACCATTAACATTTCAGCCTCTCACTCTCATTCCGTCCACACTGATCGTCTGCACTAGGCCTTCCTTTTGGATGATTCGCTGCCTGTCGGTCGCACCCAGAACAGCCTGTTGATGCTGTTTTGGTCAAATCCAACCCGCACCGGCAGGCCGCTCTGTGCAACTGGCAGCTGGGGTGGGTGGCTGTGGGTTTGAAATTTCTCGAGCCTCACACCTTCGGCATTCGGCATCGAGTCTTCTCATGTTCCTACGCACAATACTTGTGCTACAAAACATTTCAGCCTCTCACTCTCATTCCGTCCACACTGATCGTCTGCACTAGGCCTTCCTTTTGGATGATTCGCTGCCTGTCGGTCGCACCCAGAACAGCCTGTTGATGCTGTTTTGGTCAAATCCAACCCATAGTAGTGCGACTCGTGGCGGCCATATTTTCGCACTGTGCAGCAAAGAAATACTCGTCACATCCAAAAGGCAATGAGTGCAGGGGGGTGTGTGTGGGAGGATGGTCAGCATTAGCTTTTCCACCTTGGAGTCGCTGTGCGTGCGGATTCAATGTGAGGCGCTAGAGGACTGTTGGGACTGTGGCAGATCTTGTGTGGTCTTCCAGAAATTCGCGTTGGGTTCTGCTACTCCAGCGACGTCATGTCGATGCGGTTCCCCGCTCACAAACTAGATCAGGTGGTGGGGACCCCAGGATTCCCACTATCAGGTAGCCACAGGGATGATGCGGCTGTGGCTGCAATACCCATATTCTGTTGGCTAGACCCATGTTTGGCCACTCTGGTGCAGCCCACTCCTCGTGATGTGACGCTGTGTGGCCAATGAGCACCCAAAGGCCACCATGTGTAGTCTCGCAGCCCTTCCGGACGTGCCTGGTTTGAGCAGTCGTAGTGACTTGAATGGGTTGTCAGGGACCACAGATGGGTAAATGCAACCCAACATATTCGACTTGGCACAGTTGGGAACAAGTGTTGATAAATTGATTGACATTTCTTTCAAAAAAAAACAAAAGTGGCAGTTGTGGTCCGACTGCTTGATGGATCACAAACCAACCGTGAACCAAAGGGGGGAAACCAACGCATACCATCGGACACTTACCGGTGGGCTAATACAAGGTCTGTAACACCTCGAAGTCTCTATGAACTTCGCAGTGGTGTCGATCAATGTCTGTGCGCACCGCGAAGGGCCTTAGGTGCCCCACCTGGCGCATCTGGAGAAGGTTCCTGCGAGTTGAAACGTTTGACACTCTGTGATCAGGGGCACTAGTGTTGGTTTGGCTGCAACATGAAGGGCATGTAGACGGTTCCGACGTGTAGTCGGTGTTGACCACTGCCTAGTGTGAAACTACGTGGGAGGACCAGTGTTCGGCACTGTCCACCACATGTTCGTATGAATGGCCTTGGGTTCCCACCTGGCTCGGCTGGGAAACCATATATCCTGTGGCGTGAGTGTCACGTCAACACGATGTCTGCTGGTTTCATATGATACTTAATACGCTGAAATCAGGTTCCTCACCTGATGCACCAGTCATTTGTGACAGGATGGTGAGGGCCTACTCACTTCATCAACGGTGCCATGGCCATTATTAGTGAGATGCCCTGGGTTCCCCACCTGGCTCGGCTGGGCAACATGTCCTGAGGGAGGGGAAACAGAAAACATAAAGGAAAATTCGAGCCCAGACCGAATGCCCGCGTCAGCAGAGGTCGCTCGGTGAGCAGTGATCTAGCAACTACTTTAGTGAAGGCATGAAATGCACAGGGTTCCCCACCTGGCTCGGCTGGGAAAACTTCCTGGCGCAAGCGAGACTCAGAAACCTATGGAACCAATATTATGCACTAGTCAGTTGTGACCGGATGGTTGCACACAGGTCAGGCAGTGTGCAAGGGTGTCACTGCTATTCGAGTGACGCTCAAGAGTCCCCACCTGGCCCGGCTGGGAAACGGTGCCTGTCAGGTAGATCACGTGGCTGTGTGTCTGACTAAGACACTTATTCATCAGACCCCTGTGTGAGATCCCCAATCATTAGAGACACAATGTTGGAGGTCAGTGATGTGTACTGTGGTGTCTTCCCGAGGATGGGCCCTCACTGCCGGCATCTGGCAATTTCCACAGGATGACAAACAAGGAAACCTTGGGTCCCCACCTGGCTCGGCTGGGTGACGTCACCATCCCGGCCGGGCATGGCTAGGAAATGCAGTTATTTGAGAAACCGACTTAAAGGTCCGATCCGTTTCTTATGGGTCGCTCATCAATGGCAACAGTCTGATGGAAACCTGATGTGTCAGTAGTGCACAAACTAGACCTGTCCAAACCATCTTCAAGGTCCATAAGCGGACGCTAGTCAAACCAAAAGGTCAACAGACGCCGAATGCTTGTGATGTCCTCCAGCAAGTGCGTCGTGTGAGCAGCATGAAACAACGAAGTGTTGATGAAGTTGCGAACACACTCTGACTGAGATACCATTCATTGATCTCTAGGTGGAAGTCTCCAGGCCGCAACCGCTTTGGTTCGTCCGGCGGGCGGTTCCGTCGGTTCCTGTGCTATTGAAATGATGCAGGCACTTTGTGTGCCTTCTGTAGGCTGACTCGTCAGACCTCGCGAATGCTGGGCCAATTCATGTCAGCACGTCTGGAGCTAGGTTTCTGGGCCTACTTCTTCTGGGGATAGTGCCAGCTGTGATCTTGTGATCGCCAGCGCTTCTGTCCCTGTGTGTTGTGGCCCGTCTCTTGTGTATTCCCCGGCGCTTTTGGCGCTGACGGCTGTGCTGGACGGGCTTTTGGCATGATGGGAGGGTCTTTCTGCAGCGCTGTCTGGAGCCCGTGTTGGTCCAGCATCAGTTCCTGGGTGATCTCCCGGAAGTTGCGGCCGTGGCGAAGCTCGAGGGCGAGTTTCCATCCGCAGTCCACCCAGTAACTTTTGATCTGTTCCAGCTTGGCGGACTTGCCGCGTACCAATTGGCGCCACCACTGGATGTATTCCAGAATGTGTGGCTCTTTCCCGATGCGGATCAGGAGCCAGCACCACATGACTGCATCCAAGGCATCGAGGATGCTGAGGACGCCCTTGGGCGACCATTTCTGCTGATCTTCTGTCGAGGAGATTGCGAGCGAATTGGTGCCGCCTGATGCGTCGAAATGACGCAGGACTAGGATTTCTGGGAGCAGCAAGGGGGTCTGTGAGGCTGTGCGATTCTCGTGCCAAGCCCTGGCAATCACTTTTTCTGCGCCGAGCAGCATCTTGACGGGGAAGTAGCGCTTCTCTCCGTCAATCATCTGGTTCTCGTAATGCTGAACGAGTTCTTGAAGTTCTTGAGCTGGGATTTCCATGGGCGCTGTGGCAGCCGATGGGGCTTGGCTCACTGTGATGGGCGTCTTGACAAGTTGGACGGTGTTGAGCTGCGTCCAGCTCTTCTTCCATAGATACCTGATTGATGCGGTCACCACGGGTTCTGTGTCAGGTGCAGCCTGGTGTGTCACACCGGCTATATTGTGGCCAGCGATGAACGGCTGGACCACTGCTGCATCAATCTCATCGAAGGATTTGGCCAGGGCCCCCAAGATCCCCATTGACACGATGCCTCGCGCCTGCAAGTACTGCACCACGGAGTGATCCACACCAGCCTCAGCAGCCAGCTTCTGGAGTTCAGGGCTGACGGGTGTCATGGCTCACCACAGTGTCCGGCAGGGACAACTTAGTGAGTGTTTCTGAGCCAGACGCTGGGCGTGCGTCGCTGGACATTGAGTGACAGACACGGTCACTTGCCGTCAGGGAAAATAGACTAGTACGGCATCCCCCACCTGGCTCGGCTGGGGGAGCCGGTAATGTTTAAACACACAACAAACCTGGCCTCTGTGATGCAAAAGAATTTTGCCCAACCAAAAGAAACAGGGTGTCTCAGGTGTGCACGAACATAACTACAGTGTGTGGCAGAACATGTGATGCCGCAGCAGATTCGGTCGGAATCCAACTGGCAACCTGCAGCAGAAAGGAAACAAAACCAAACTGATGGTTGATCAGCTTCGCTGACCAAATGATGCATGATCTGCATTCTGAGTAGCCCAGCTCTAACTGCCCGGGCTCTTGCGCTCAAGAGCAACCGTGTGAGTTCTAAAAAATCTTGGCGTTAGTACAGAAACAAATAAAATAATAAAATTCCTATAGGTGTCACCGACTTGGCGCAGTTCCCCTTTTTTGACTTGTCGCGGTCTCGCGCTCTGTGGATCTGACTTTCCAGGTGCTCAAGGTCGCTACTGCTTCTCTTCTGCGGTTGCCAACCAGGCCCGGTTGAGGGCTGTGGTCTCTCGGATCATTTGATGGCAATGGTGTGCCATTGACAAGATATCAGCCTGGATGCCGGCTTTCAGGGCCTCTATCTCTGCATCGCTGTCACCCGGAGAGTCGCCAGTCCTCTGCTGGACGACATCGGTGCTAAGCTGGATGCAATCCAAGGCGCCCAAAATCGTGTCACTGTCCCAACGAGCGAGTTGTGTGATGAGTGTTGGGCTGAGACCTAGTCGTCTCAAGAAACGTGCGCCTGTGGCGCGGAGACAACCTGAAGGTGGCTCCGTCTGGACTGGCTGCTCTGAGGTCCTGGAACTCTCCAACATGTGGGCGATGTTCTTGAGGAGGTCGGCGGGGTTTTGGGCCCCCATGTGGGCGAATGGCCGATCTGTCTCTCCTTTCGAATCTGTGAGGTTCAGCAGCTCCACCATGTTGTGGTAAGGGCACAGCCGCTGTCCCATGATTGGGCATCTGCACCCCAAGGACACGTCAACGGTGATTGCCTGTGTCTCCGGCGGTCCAGTGGGGAGTGTCCAGGTCACTACGTTCCGAGAGCCATCGAGCTGTATGTGTGACCGAGAAGTGGCCCACAGTTCATCGGTGGTCGTGAGAAACTGACTGCCCACTACAATCATGTGGTATGTGGCTCGGCGATCACGCGTCCATAACTGGATGTTGGTCGTGTCCACGGCGGAGATGTCGCAAGCGTCCAGCTGGCTGGTCACTCTCCCCTTCTGTGGTCCGTGAATGGCTGTCAGAAACGCAACCAGGTCTCGAGGTGGTGCAATGGGTGCGGCTCCTCTGTGTGAGGCAGCCCGGCTTTCCGTGTCTGTGATGGCGTTTTGTGGCGTTGCGCCATCCTGCTGTCGGAGACTGTCCTGGAAGACACGCCAGACCTCGGGCGGCATGCCAGTCTCCAAAACCACTGAGGGATGTTGAAGGAGTGTAGGTGGGTCTGTCAGGTCCTTCTCCACCAAACGTGGCAGCCACTCGGCCGCTCCAGATGCCTTGGCCGCCTCGACGACATGTCTGAATTGAGCCATCTCCCCCACTTGGTTCAGCGACCGCTAGCGTGCTGCGGCCGCCTCTGCTGGTGGCGCAGTGCGTTGAGCCGATGTGAGCACAGATGTGTTCAATATTGGCATGCCTGAAACAGTGAATGGCTAAATATAGCCAATATGTGTGACATGGTGAGGTCAAACAGCAATGGTGGAAACGGTCCTAGGTAATATATCCCCTATCACAGAGATCTTACTGTCAGAAAAGGAAACTTGAGTCTTCTGGACCATCACATTCGTCACAACGGTGGACGCTGTGAAGGTGGCTCAATGCGCCGCATTTGTTCGCTCACAACATGTGCGTGGGCGTCCTGTTTGGATCGGGATCAATCGCTACACGCGTGCCCCTGTCCACCTGGACCGTCCAAATGACAGAGATTCCCCTAACTACCACTCAGAATGCTACGAAGGCACGGGTCGAAGCACTGATCGTGCCTCTCTGCCTGCTCTGCGCGAGCTGGCTGTGCAGAAAGGGCGACGTGCACCGCGCCCATTCGCATGTCTACCCACATCGAGGGCTGATTGGCCCGGCTGCTGCTCGCAGCTTGAACAAAACAAAGTGTTTCCTGACCAGGTCAGTGAATGCTCGCGTCGGCTTTCTGCTCAATGGTGTCGGTGCGTGTCGATCTGGTCGGTTGATGTCTAAGGCTATGACTGGAGATCAGCCTAGGCAGGCCGGCTGTTTCGTCGGATACGGTAAGACGGGTAGAATACATGAAACAAATGAGAGGACGGGGAGCCCCCCCCGTCGACATGTGACCCAAAACTGAAGGAAACGAAACACCGCATGTGCAAACGCACCCGCAGTCAAAATTAGACAGTGATGACAAACCCTCTCTGAAACATCGACCCTGGGTTCTGGATAAACTGTGATCCGAATCACCGTCTGGCGAAGTCGTGTCGGGTCGGATGTTGCAACTGAGGTTCACACGACAGTTACGAAGGGCCTGGGCGCCTATCGTCAAAAGACACCGATTAGATCGCATCTTGGCGGTCCATTCGCCTTCACTAAAAGGAAAGTCCGATGTCATGCAACGCCATGATGAATGTGTGTCCAGCACTCGTCAGCTACAATAAATCCATGTTTCAACTGCTTTGATTGTGAAAACGACCCACTCATAGGAAGGATGGCCATGGATAGCCTTGGGGGCGTGAGCTCCTAACTCGGCCGCTCGCGCCCAGGCATGTGGGATTTCAGCGGGCTATCCTGTCACAGCTGTGCGACACTAAAAGGAAAATCCAATATCATGCAACGCCATGATGAATATGTGTCCAGCACTCGTCAGCTACAATAAATCAATGTTTCAACTGCTTTGATTGTGAAAACGACCCACTCATAGGAAGGATGGCCATGGATAGCCTTGGGGGCGTGAGCTCCTAACTCGGCCGCTCGCACCCAGGCATGTGGGATTTCAGCGGGCTATCCTGTCACAGCTGTGCGACTAGCTCCCGAATGGAAAGAGGGCACGAAGTGTCCTCGGTACATGTACATGTGTGTGTGCTGGGCACTCTGAAAAACGCCCTGCGTGATCTGGACCCCCAACCTATCAGATTCCTTAGGTTCTCTGATCCAGATGGGAGCTCCGCGTCTGGCACCTCTGGTCGTCTGAGTTAGAGACTAGGGGCTATGGGGTCCTCCAGCCCCTCGAGTGGGATCGTGTTGAGGTGGTTGATGATGGAAGGCGCTCTGAGCTGGTTCATCTTGGTACTGAGTGTGGTCACGCCACCATGGCAGGACCCCCAATCTATCAGATTCCTTGTGTTTCTGGATGGGAGCTACATGCGAGCACCTCAGGTGGCTGAGCTAGCGACAATATGGACCACAGGGTCCTCCAAGTCCTCGACTAGGATCGTGTTGGAGTGGTTTAAGATGGATGACGCCCTGCAGGATCTCCCTCGCAATCCGAGCTGGTTCATCTGGGGACCGGGCGCGGTCACACCACCATGGCGGGACCTCCAATCTATCAGACTCCTTGTGTTTTCTGGATGGGAGCTACATGCGGGCACCTCAGGTAGGCTGAGCTGGCGACAATGAGGACCACAGGGTCCTCCAAGTCCTCGACTAGGATCGTGTTGGATTGGTTTCAAATGGATGACGCCCTGCATGATCTCCCTCGCAATCCGAGCTGGTTCATCTGGGTACCGGGTGCGGTCACACCACCATGGCGGGACCCCCAATCTATCGGATTGCTTTGAAATTTCTCGAGCCTCACACCTTCGGCATTCGGCATCGAGTCTTCTCATGTTCCTACGCACAATACTTGTGCTACAAAATAAACCATTAATAAACCATTAATAAACCATTAATAAACCATTAATAAACCATTAATAAACCATTAATAAACCATTAATCAACCATCAATAAACGATTAATCAACCATTAATAAACCATTAATCAACCATTAATCAACCATTAATCAACCATTAATCAACCATTAATAAACCATTAATAAACCATTAATCAACCATTAATCAACCATTAATCAACCATCAATAAACCATTAATCAACCATTAATCAACCATTAATAAACCATTAATCAACCATTAATAAACCATTAATCAACCATTAATCAACCATTAATCAACCATTAATAAACCATTAATAAACAATTAATAAACCATTAATAACCCGTTAATAAACCATTAATCAACCATTAATCAACCATTAATAAACCATTAATAAACCATTAATCAACCATTAATAAACCATTAATAAACCATTAATGAACCATCAATAAACCATTAATCAACCATTAATCAACCATTAATCAACCATTAATCAACCATTAATAAACCATTAATAAACCATTAACAAACCATTAATCAACCATTAATCAACCATTAATAAACCGTTAAGAAACCATTAATAAACCATTAATCAACCATTAATAAACCATTAATCAACCATTAATAAACCATTAATAAACCATTAATAAACCATTAATAAACCATTAATCAACCATTAAGAAACCATTGATAAACCATTAATCAACCATTAATAAACCATTAATCAACCATTAATCAACCATTAATCAACCATTAATCAACCATTAATCAACCATTAATAAACCATTAATCAACCATTAATAAACCATTAATAAACCATTAATCAACCATTAATAAACCATTAATCAACCATTAATCAACCATTAATCAACCACCAATAAACCATTAATCAACCATTAATAAACCATTAATAAACCATTAATAAACCATTAATAAACCATTAATCAACCATTAATCAAACATTAATCAACCATTAATCAACCATTAATCCACCATTAATAAACCATTAATCAACCATTAATCAACCATTAATAAACCATTAATCAACCATTAATCAACCATTAATAAACCATTAATAAACCATTAATCAACCATCAATAAACCATTAATCAACCATTAATCAACCATTAATAAACCATTAATAAACCATTAATAAACCATTTATAAACCATCAATAAACCATTAATCAACCATTAATAAACCATTAAACCACCATTAATAAACCATTAATAAACCATTAATAAACCATTAATAAACCATTAATAAACCATTAATAAACCATTAATAAACCATTAATAAACCATTAATAAACCATTAATAAACTATTAATAAACCATTAATCAACCAGCAATAAACCATTAATCAACCATGAATAAACCATTAATCAACCATTAATCAACCATTAATCAACCATTAATCAACCATTAATCAACCATTAATCAACCATTAATCAACCATTAATCAACCATTAATCAACCATTAATCAACCATTAATCAACCATTAATAAACCATTAATCAACCATTAATCAACCATTAATAAACCATTAATCAACCATTAATCAACCATTAATCAACCATTAATAAACCATTAATCAACCATTAATCAACCATTAATAAACCGTTAAGAAACCATTAATAAACCATTAATCAACCATTAATAAACCATTAATACACCATTAATAAACCATTAATCAACCATTAATCAACCATTAATCAACCATTAATCAACCATTAATCAACCATTAATCAACCATTAATAAACCATCAATAAACCATTAATCAACCATTAATCAACCATTAATCAACCATCAATAAACCATTAATCAACCATTAATCAACCATTAATAAACCATTAATAAACCATTAATAAACCATTAATCAACCATTAATCAACCATTAATAAACCATTAATCAACCATTAATCAACCATTAATCAACCATTAATAAACCATTAATCAACCATTAATCAACCATTAATAAACCATGAATCAACCATTAATAACTATAACCATAACTATAACCTATATGTAACCCTTGTGACACTGAGTTCGGGGTAGCCCCGACTTCGGATCTCCGGGCACCCAGGCTCGATGCTTTTGCTCCTGATCATCCCCATGGCAATGGTGAGGATAGGATGTGGTTTCTATTCAGGATACGGTTGATATCTATTAAGGATATAATATCAATTGAGGAATATGTCCTATAATTATCTATAATTTATGTTTTAACATGTCTTATATAACTACTAATTAATGAATGGTTATGACTCGACTTTTGTTCATTTTTTTGTCTGGGTAATCCACATCCTATGGCAACAACAAAAAGTGGCCCAGTTCTTATGACTACAAACATATCCTATGTTTCTAGAACAGTACACCGAGTCACAGATTGGGATGGAAAGTAAGAAATGCTTGAGAAGATCAAACCGTTCGCCGGGTCTCAAAAAAAAAGCCACAAACACCTGATCTAGAAAAGTCCAACCAGTTTCCAATTCTCTAGATGGTATTGTTCACCATGGACGGCAGAACAGCAGCTGATGATTGCCATTCGTTCGGATCTGAGACGAGCGATGGTGAACATGTAATGTTCAGAGCGGTAATGTGGTAAAGCCAGAACCGCTATAGTTGGTTTCCCCAAAATCACCATCTGGTGGTATAAACCATCCCCAGT